TGTGTGTGTGTGTGTGTGGCATTTCCATTCAGATCAACAGCTGTCAGCTATGTGAAGACAGACACCGCCTCTGTTTCCTCCCCTCACAGCTAGTGTTCTCTGGCTGAACACAACTCTTCAGTCTTAAATATTCCTGCCTTGTTGACCATATGCATCAATCTGACTATTGCCAATGCTCTAATCCAAGTACTATTTGTGGTTTCAGGGTTCAAATAAACTTTAAATTCACTTTTAACTAAGTCAGAAAGAATGGATATTTTAGAAAACCCCAGCGACTGCAGCAGTTTACAAAACCCAACCACACTTCTGAGCGTCCAGACTTCCTTCCATGTGAAACACAAGGACAGCAACGTGCCACGCTCCCAACAGGCCTGTAACCCAAGGCCCTTTAGGTCGAATGTCTACTTTTGGCCTAAGGCCAGAACCTTGCGGTCTATTTGTTTCCCATTTCCTGACCTGGAGGAAACAATGACGAACAAACTTAGCCTCAACCTAGACGCGACTCGCACACTCTGCCGAGGGAGGTGAGACAAAGGAGGTGTGTAATGTGAGGCTGGCTGGACAAGCCATCTGGAACACATGCACCTACACACACACGCACACACACATACATAAAAGGCAGATGGGACCATCTAAATGCCAGGCTAACTGGGTTAATTGCTGATACAATGGGCCTCACAGTCAGCTGGATGAATGGACAAGTCTACTCTGTAACTGAAAAGTTGTTTCCATTCAAATTAAGTTGTCGTTCCTCCTGTMCCTGCTTCAACTCCCTTTAAAAATAAATACCAACGTGGTCACAAGTTTATATGAGGGTTGTAAYGACCAAAAAGTCCAACACAACAACTATAAACTAATCCAAAATCAAATGCTTGTTCAAAGTAATTCAAAGGGTTTTTTTTAGCTTTTGCTTTTTATTTTTTCAGTCCAGGAACTGATCGTTTTAAGAGGACTGTTTTAAATAATTTTGTTTTTTGGGTCACTTAGCTCTCATAATCATTCCGGCATAAAAAAATCCCTAAATTGTATAAGTAGAACATGTGTTGTTTCAAAACACAGGATCACAGTAGGATCTTTAGATAATTTGTTACCAGCAGCCTGTTTGAAAGACACAACTTGTTCTTATTTCTCTGGTTAAATAAATGCCAAAGTTAACACAGGGATTTAAAAAGAGTTATCAGCTGGAAACTTGTCATAATATAGATACAAAATCAAAATTAGGGGTGCAACAATACATGTACCTGTATCGAACCGTTCAATACAGTGCTTTAGGTTCAATACACGCTTGTATCGAACAATACAGATTTTTAGAATTTATTTTATCAGCTTATCTTCTAAAGATGCTCTGTGTTAAAGGATCAGTGGAGGCTAGGCTGCATTTTTTAGCACAGATCCACTGAGAAACTTGCTGTTTCAGCAACATTTAATTTGAAAACTGTATTTTGAGGTTAAACAAATGTTCATAATTAATTTAAATAAACTACAAGTTAAAAAGTGTGTGGACATTTCCCTTTTGTTGTATCGAAAAAAATATCAAACTGTGAGACTAAAGTATTGAACTGAAACGAATCGTGAATATTCTGTATTGTTGCACCCATAAGAT